GAATAGTTGATAATCTATGGAGATCATAGAATACGAAGACGTCAAGAGATTCTCATTCACCATACTGTTCATCAGATACTCTCTGAATAATCAGCCGCAAAAGGGAATTTCAAAGAAAATCGTAACCCCAATTTCAAAAAAATGCGCTGTGCTATGGAGAATGTGCCTTTGAACGTGTCTCTTTCTTCAGCAAACTGGGTCAGTGGGCAAAGAAAAGCAAGTTTAAGGTGAATGTTCAACCAAAGTTGCATGAGCTAGCAAGAGTAGAAATGAGTTAAGAATCATATGTTTTTCATATATTTATATTATTCATTGTTATAGTATAGAGATATGTCAGCATTTCAAATCAGAAAACTATCTAGATGATCCCTTTTATATTACTTTTAGTTTTCTCAAGAGAGCCAGAGATAATGAACGTCTTAACGGGCCTTGACCGCAAAAAAGGATGGGTGAAAGCGTATTTTTCTTTCTCCCCCCCCCTCCTTCATCATCATATCACTGCATGTATCGTTAACAGTTCCAGAAAGTTTTCAACCATTTGTCCACAATTAGTTCATTTGATAATCATTGAATAGCTTAAATCATATTTTGTTAGGCAAAAAAGGAAAATGATGAAACAAACGAAATATTTCTAGGAAGAGATATCAAGTTTTTGATATTTTCCTGTATTCATGATCTCATGTGAAAGTACACATACAGGCAAACACACATTCTTCAACTAGCTGACCCTTATTTTAAAAAAAGCTGAAAAGAGTCCGGCTTCTTCTATTCTGACTCATAATGAGATTCGGGGTATATCTCTCTCTATCATTCTCTCTCCCTCTCTCTCTCTCTCACTCCCAAATTCTTCATGTTCAATAAACAAATTTTTATTTGTTAATTTTTGTAACAGACACAATAAAACTGATTGAATTTCATTCAAGAGTTACGAGGATGAATTGTATACAGATAGATAGGACAGACAAGGTAAACGATGTTCCTTAAATGGGTCTCTTGAAAAAGACATTTTCTTTCTTCAAAATGTTCATGGTCGTATCAGCTTATCTTTTGACCTCTTGTGAAAAACCCCATCAGGATAATGTCTCGTGTAACTAAATATTTCGTCTCCAACTTTATTATTTCTTTCAAATTACAAAGATGTAAACGCTTAATAGTTATGAGAGACCATTGGAGGACACATTTTCATTGTTAAATCTGATCGTAAACATATATATGTTTCAAGTTAACATGAAGAATAAAATGTGTCAATTAACAATTATAATTTCATCAAACTATTTTCAGTGTTTCCATATTTGGTTGGATTGAAGATGATCACATCATGAGTTTCAGATCAATGATATAGACTCTATACGCTGGCTTATTCGCTTAACAGTTCTTTGATTTCAATAATCACATGAAAGTCTTTAAAACTGTCGAGAAGCTAAGGCTAATGTGATAATTTCGATACCCGGAATTTGAAATCTGGATAGATCTCTTGATTTTCATTTAATTCAATTACATATAATTGGATTCCACTCGTTCTCGAGTTACCGATCGTTTTTTCACCTTTCCATTTTCATTCTTCTGAATGAACCGGTGTAATTAGCATATCACGTGAAGGTACGTGCAATAGCCCAATATGAATTTATTTATTATTTACAGATGTGCTGGGCGGTTGTATCTGATCTCATACCTCATCGTTCACTGACCACCCACCCCATTTGTTCAATCTCGTAATCTCTCATACCCTCCACGACAGCTCTCTTTACCCCATATCTTAAACTTTTTTTACCCAAAAATTTTCTTTACCCCAAGAAAGTACATTAGCTGGGTCATACCTAAGTATTCAGTGGGAGGGTAAGGTTCTGATATCTTCCAGCCTTTTGTGAAACTAGGTCGATGCTGCTGCCGTCTCACCTTAAGGCGGGAGAGGTTGTTCCATCAGAAACTTGTCGCATTTACACATTTGTCTTCCCTGGAGTCAGACTTCATACTTTTAGCCTTTCAAAGTCTATGAAGTTATACTGGCTTCTCCTTTATTCCTATATAAGGTTAAATGACCCAATTGTAGATTTTTAACCAATGCTAGTCATGATGCTTTTAGTTCTATCTTCCTTTTCAATCTCATAGCTCCTTAGAAGGGTAATGGGCGTGAATCCTAAGGGTCAGACAGCTAGTACAACCCATCAACAGCCACGACGGTGATACGATTGCTGATTCGACCTAGATTATCTAGGAAAAATCCGTGTGATGATGAGATGAACAGCTCTGTCTTTCATCGGCTATTCGACATTTCAACGTGAAGCTCCCTAAAGCCTCATTATCATTTTTATTCCTATCTGCTTTATTCTATTCCTATGTTTGTAAATGATGGTATACGAACGTCTTGTTTTCTATCAAACTTCCAACAGTTCATGATTGTTTGGATGCCCTATAGCCAAGAATTAGCTCATCTTGATGTTTCTTATCTCAGTTCTCAGAAAAAGTTTGGAATAGCATTCAACAACCTTTTTTTCATCGTCTTCTTCTCCTATTTATTTTTTGCATTCTTTATCACCAAATAGATAATTGAGATCAATCTTTTTTAAAACAAAAAAGATTGTTAGCGTTTCGTAACAGTGACCTACTTGGCTAATTTGCGATACACACAGTTCTTCATCCATTTTTGGAATTTCTGACCTTGCATGTAAGTGAGATAAGCTGCTAATATTATTTGAAATCATACTTTTCAACTCTTGTTAGCCTCCCTCCTCTTTGGGAACTCTCCTAGCCTCAGCTATATTCAACGATGATGAAGAAACAAACAGTCCTTGAGGCACATTCCTGCCAGTAGTTTGTCCTTAGTGACCTAGTATTTGTTATCTTCTCGTGTTCTCAACTACACTGACTCATCAAACCAGCCGCTACTTGAGTAAAACTATATCAAATTAGCTATGGCCTTCCATATTCATTTTGTACCTATCAAGTATTAAGAATGAAACATACCAAAGATGATGTAATGTGTTTTCACGACATGAGAACTTCATACAATGACGTCAAGTAGATGTGTTTGATATGATAATCATCAGAGTTTGGAAGATGCTAACGAGTCTACTACCAGCAAGTTGGCTGTGCTTAGGTCAAGGCTGGCATAGCCGGTCAGATCTTTTTCCAGATAAAACACCTTTCAGGCTAGATCATATCCTCTCTTATCTAATTCGGAACGCTATCTATGTTATAGAGCAGTTAAAATAATTTCTCTCATTTCTTTAAGATCTTTTCTCTTCTCTTTTTTCGTGTCCCATTTCTTCTCATATCTTCTCTCATTACCTCATCTTTCAAAACATAAAAATAAAGAAACATCAGTAAAGAAGATGGAGAGAGACAAGGCTAAGTATGACCTTCTCTCTCTCCTTCTGAATCTTTTTCTTCCCTAAAAGGACAGCCGACTTATCCTGGTAGATGAATACCTAACAAACTTTTTATTCTCTCTCTCTCTTTTTTCCTCCCTTCACCTCTTGGTTCCTCTCCATATCTTCTTCTGTCTTTTGCCCCATCTATTCGACTCCTAGATCAGTCAGTCCGAGAAGGATCGTCGTCCGAAGAGCCAGTCGCATCATCTAGTCTTAGCCATCATTCCTCCTGAATATGTTATCCCATACAGCTAGTTTTCATAATTCTTACCTTCTAGATAACGATTTGAACATAAATATTTATGCAAATATGATGGCTTGAGTTATCCTGTTTTTCATTCAAGAAGTTTGTCTTATGAATCCGTCATCCTCCAGTTGTTTCTCTTCATTTCAGATGTTTCTGATTCGCCCATCGTCTTTCTTCAAATTGTCATTTCTCTTTACTGTCATCATCTCATCCGTGTCACTTTTGTCACCTCCGGAATCTCTTTTACGCGCTCCAATTAGCCTTCTGAAGACCATTTCAACCTATGACTTCTAGATGCTTTCCCTCTCTATCTCTCTCATCCGAGACAGAAACAATAAAGAAAAAAAGACTATCTATTTCGTTTCGAAATAATTATTTGTCCGGACTAGCTTACACCAATTTCTTCTTTACTTTTGAACTTTGTATCCGATTTAACCATATTTGAGAACAAGTGGCCTACACTCGTTCATCTAATTTATCCAATAAAAAACTCTCAAACAACGGCTAGATCTCCAGAAAGCAAAAAGCTTCATCCGTTCATGGAAATTTGAATGTAGTATTCAACTGTTCGTCACAGTTTCTACCGTCATTCTTAACATCTGTAATTCTTAGTAAAGGATTTTTTGAAAATAACATTCTCAAGAAGCTTCTTGAGAGATTTTGCCGATGAGAACATGAAATGAAATATTTGGTTAGCCCAGATTCCTTCAAAGGGCATGACATACTTTGTAAACTTATTTCCTCTCAATATTTAGCAATCTTTTCTTGAATATCTTCATTTTTTATTCTTATTCCTTCTTATGGAGTTTTTTTTTTGATTTCGACTCAAAACTTATGACGATCGTACCTTGAGAGAAGTTCATCAAATGTCTCCATTCATATTATTTCATTGTGTTCCTTCCGCATTTCCTCGTTTTTTTTTTATTTTTCTTTCATTGGACGGTCCGAATTCTTTCGAGGTCTTTATACTGTTCATTCCTCTTCTCTTGGCAACATCTCTTTTGTCTTCCAGTAATTACTCCTTGCTAACCTTGGGTGATCGAGAATGTGTTCCAAAATTAATATTTCTCGGTATACTTTTACATTGATACAAGTAGGGACCAATAACTTCTGTATAACTCTGTTTGTACATTTTCTTTTTTTCTGAGTATTGTAATGAATGGAAGTGAAAGGTAGGATATCCTAAAAGAACTCATTCATGAATTGACCCACAGCCTAAGTTATTGTAAAAGTCATCTCCTATTCGAGTTTTCTAAAGTTTCAGGTCATGTTTGGTACAATTTTTTTCGTTCGTTATAGCTTTTTCTGTCTATTTCTTTCGTTTCTCGGTTTTTAAAAAATTATCGAACTGTAACATCACACCTCATCTTTCAGATCCATAGATGAGGCGCTGCTTAGCGCTTCTTCTCGTACTTGTGGCTGTAGCCCAAGGTAAGCCTCCTCAGTATTTCTGAATATATTTAACTCATATGCTTTTAGCCACAGTCGATCCATGTAAAAGACAGCCATTCAGGGGAAGATGCCCTTCTGTAGAGGGAGCTCCACCCAAAAGAAGTCAATTTGTTCTTAGATATTATTCCAGAAACGGAGAATGCGTCAGTTATCCATACGGTCAGTACTATAGATTTGAAAAATACTTTGACATCATTGATAAAATTGATTGAAATCAATTGAATTTCAAATGTTTGATCAGTTTTTCCTTCTTTAAACAAATTATCTTGATGCGCATCATTTGACAACTTGAAGACAACGAACTGAAGACGAAAATCTGGGTTACTAGGCGATTTTTGCCCATTTGATGTTTTCTTGGTGAATAAGCAAAACTATATCGTTTTTCGTCCTATCGGTTGAACTGCAGACAATTGATCATCTTCTAATAATCTCTCCGAAAAAGAAAGTGAAACTGATCAAATAATTCTTTCAGGACACTGCGCCTCTGACTCTTCTGAACCTCAGTTATACAGATACAAAGAGGAATGCGAAGATGCTTGCATCACTCCCCCTCCAGGTTTTGGAAATCTAATATTTTTGAAGTTACATATGAAAATTTACAGCTAACTTAGGATCTCCAAAGGATGGTTTCGATCAAACTTACGGAACTGTTGCTCCTGTAAAGGAAAGCCCAACAGTTGCTAAGGTTGAAGAGGTTTGTTTTCTTTTCTTTTCACTCTGTTTCGCATGCCCGCTGAATTTTATGTTTCAAACATTACACGAAGTTTCGAAAAATTGCATGAATTCATTCACTATAGACACAAACCACAACAACGATCACTAGTACTGAAGCTCCATCCACAACTGAAGCCTCAACAACCACCGAAGCTCCAACAACCACTGAAGCTCCAACCACTGCCGAAGCTGTTACTACAGTAGAAGTTACAACAACTACTGAAGCTACTACTGAAGCGCCCACAACAACTGAAGCTCCCACCACTCTCAGTACTACACCAAGCACTACTTCCACCACAGAAGCTCCATCTTCTACTGCTGAAACTTCATCAACTGATGAATCTACCGAAGTTTCTGAGGAGTCCATCGAAGAGTCTACTCAAGAAGTTCAAACAGCTGAGTCTACTACTGAAGCATCTACAACTACTACCGAAGAGCCAACAACTGTGAAACTCACAACAGTGACTTCCACTACCACAACTACAAGCACAACCACCACCACTGAAGCACCAATTGTAGAGAAGAAAGTTGAAAAAGTTCCTGTTCTTCAGAGAGCTGAATCCACTACTCCTTCAACAACCCTCCCAGTCGAAGTTGTCCCAACAACAGCTGTCCCTCGCACAGGTAGACCTAAAAAAGTTATCCAAAATATAGAATATTTTCTTAGATTGTGAGCGTCGCCGTGCTGCTGCTGCTTCATCAAAGATCCGAGGAGGATTCGTTCCAGTCTGCAAAGGAAATGGTGATTTCGAGCCTCTTCAATGTGAACTTGATGGACGTCAATGCTTTTGCGTTGACCAAAGTGGAATTGAAATCGCTAACAGTAGAACTCACAACGGAGTGAAACCCGATTGTGCAAGTGAGTAGCTTCACAAAGATTTCGTGTTTTTCAATCAAAAATATTCAGAGATTGAAGCTGCTGTACGTCCAAGAGTTCAAGAATGTTCTGGTGATTTCGAGAGAGGACCATGCGCTTCTCATATGGAACGCTGGCACTATGTTGAAGCTGAGCAGAAATGTAAACAGTTCTCTTACTCTGGTTGTGGAGGAAACGGAAACAACTACGAAACTGAAAGAGACTGTATGGGACGTTGTGCTCCTCTGAACGCTCCACCCAAATGTGCTAAAGGAGAGCCACTCCAAAGCAAGCAGGGATCTCTCATCAACTGTGCCAAGACTGATTGTCCATCCGGCTATAAATGCAATGTGGGACAACAAACCAGCGTCTGCTGTCCAGATACTGAGAAGACAGGTAATTTTGCATTGTGTGAAAATGAATAGCTTATTTTTTAGTTGGACTCCAACAATCAACCACTGTCGGAGATGTCTGTAAGTTGGATAAGGAACGAGGACCATGTGACAAATATGAGCTTCGCTTCTATTTCAATGGTGAAACCAAGGAATGCAAGTATTTCTTCTGGGGAGGTTGTGAAGGAAACGGAAACAACTTCGAAACAATCGAGTCTTGTGAATCTACATGCGGAATCGCTAAAAGTAATTTCAGAATAGCAATTCAAATTTATATTTTTCTTTTGAAGATCGTGGAACTACCCGCCACCCTACTCCTAGAACTACCCAAGGATTCAGAATCAATCAGAATAGTGAAAGAACCGAGTCTACCACTCCGTAAGAGAAATATTATAGCATAGTTATTATTAGAACATCATATTTTAGAACTGCCACTACTTCTACTTCCGCTCCAACCACCCGGCATCATGTTCCAACCACAACTACAAGAGCAACTCCTCGTACTACCAGACGCCCAACTACGACATCAATCGATATCACACCAATCCCATCTGATGAAGATGATGTTGTTGTTTCCAATCGTAATAACAACTTCCAAGGACATCCAGTAGCTCCCGTAAACCCATCGGTTCTTCTGGAAGGTAGTGATCTCTCTGATGCTGCTGCTGATGGTAATTTGCTTTAAAATAACACACTGACAACAATACTATTCACGCTGCCTTAAGCGCACTTCACTCTTTTACAAGTTTTACATACAATTTTTAATTAATTTTTTTCTTTCGATTGAATAACAGTATCTCAATCTTTGAAAAATTTGGAAATTTTTTCGCTCCAGAATTTCCATTTAACTTTCATACTAATTCTCAATTCATCATTAGAGAGTTTATAACTGATACCTAAAATCACATGAAAGCACTCGTTCGCACATACACTCACAGTCTATGATTAGAAAGAAACTTTTACTAACCGAAAACTCTTCAGTGAACCGTTGTGCTCATCCACGTGATTCCGGAACTTGCGGTGGACAGTTTGTTCGTTGGTTCTGGGATGAAGAAAAGAACTCTTGTGATGTATTCACATATTCTGGATGCCAAGGAAATGGAAACAACTTCGCTAGCCGTGAAGAGTGTCACGCTATTTGCCATAAAGAAAGTAAGTTACCTTATTCAAAATAATTATATGCTATGGTGATGTTTAGGCACTCCTGATTTTGCTAACGTATGTCATCATGATGTTGACGCTGGAGAATGCAACGGTGTGTTCCAACGTTTCGCTTTCGATTCTGAATCTGGAGAGTGTCGTCCATTTACCTATGGAGGATGTGGAGGAAACGGAAACAATTTCGCTACTATTGGTGAATGCAGAAGCAGATGCCAAGCTACTGTTCGCAAACCATTAGTTGTTGCCACAAACCTATGTGATCACAACATCGATGTTGGAGAGTGTACTGGAGTTTTTGTTCGTTTCGGATTTGACAAGGAGTCTAATGACTGCCGTCAGTTCACTTATGGAGGATGCGGTGGAAACGGAAACAACTTTGCTTCTCTTCTTGAATGCCGCAACGTTTGTGTGAAGAAGGCTTGCCCACAAGTTACAGCTACCTGTGACATGTCCAGATGTCAAATTGTAGAAGACCAGAACGGTTGCCCATTCTGCAGTTGCTCACCAGTCAAGCAACCTCTCCCACCTGTTCCAACACACTGCGCTCCGGTCAATGAGAACTCTTGCCATGAGCCATGTCTTCTCATTAACAATAGAAGAGGATGTCAAGAATGTGTATGTCCCAAGACAACTCAAGCTACACATGCTCCTCAACCACCCCCAACTCAAATCACTCAACAGCAAATCTTTGGAAATCCTCCAGGACATCAAACTGGTAGAGCTCCAGCACCTGAAGTTGTTGTTGGACCTCCAGCCTCAGCTACTCGTATCGCTCCTCCATCCCCCAACAGCATTGTCAGAGCCCGTAAGTTCTACCTCATAGAACTTCTAAGATATAATGTTTTTTAGACGATGTCAAGACTGTTTCTTCTCAACAAAAAACTTCTGAAATCGAAACTTCTAGACCTTTCCTTCCTCCAACTTTGAACGCTGAATTGAATGAGAAATGTCTTCAACCAGTTGTAAGACTATATACAACTTTTTTCGATCTTCAACCTAATGTTTTCTAGGAAGTTGGACCATGCAAAAACTTTGTTGACCGTTGGTTCTTCTCCAGCGAAGATGGAACCTGTCGTCCATTCAAATATGGAGGATGTGCTGGAAACAGAAATCATTTCTTCACCCAAAAGGAATGCGAGATTCACTGTGCCCGATTCTTACGTGAGTATTTAAAACTTCTATTTTCAAAAATTTTTCTTTTCTTCTTGATATCGGAAAGCCAGAACACTCACTTTCGAAGTTTTCTTTTCTTGTTTGTAAATTCTAAGTATTCTGGCTTTTGTGGTAGTGCAAGAATGATTTCAGTAGCATGACTCGGTTTTTTTGGTTGTTGTTCTCCACCTACTCTTAGTATGCAATTGCTCTAAAACATATTCAGACAACTTTGTTAATCAAAGCTTTACTAACGCCCAACTCAACTAACTTGCATGAATGTTGCCCAACATCATCAAACTGCTTGTACCGATTTTCATTTGGAAAACGATCATAATCAGCATAGATTTTCGATTCATAAAACTTCTATGTCAAAAGCTACCTTACGTTGTGTCTCGGCTTATCTGCTTGTGCTTGTAGTTTCCTATGCTTTCAAAGCTTTTTCTTTCTCTACGTATGCTCTGAAAACATGAAACTGTTAGTCCACACACTCAAAAACCAGCACAACTAGGCAGCTTTTTAGGTTCGCTTTCAAGCGAGAATTCGGCCAATTCGCATGTGCATGACAGTCTACCAACTCTCAAAAACTGGGTTTATCATGTGGAAGCAACTCACCGTCCTTTACCCGACCAACCACATCTCACGACACCACAACCTCAACTTCCTCCGGTTTATACAACTGCCAGATCGATTGATGAGTCTTTTGTTCCCACTTCCCCTGAATTTGTTCACCATTCTTCCTCATTGCCTCAAGCACAACGACATCCCACAACAGTTCAACGATTCGAGCTTCCTTTCGATCTCCCAACTCGTGTGAGAGCTCATGCTACCACTAACGTTGAAGGAGGGACTCATGAGGAACTCCAGTTCTTCCCAGAAACGTACGAAGTTAAAAGTTCACTGAATCCTTCACATCAAAAACAACACGCTGTTCCAACTTTTGATGATACGCAAAAATCTCTTGTTGTTCCACAATCTCGTCAAGTTCTGAACTTTGCCGGTCCGCAGCAGCATCAACAACTTCAGCATCACTCTCAGTTTGCTCCTAGCCAAACCAGTGATCAACAACATCCACAGGCTTTTGCTAACCTACCTACAACTGTTTCTGCTCATGATTTCAATAGCCCAGTTCACCCTGGAGGACGCCTGAGACAAAACTTCCAACAACAGTTCCACTCTCAGAGTCCAACTCAGTCACCTCACTCCACAACCACTGAAGAAAGGCAAGCACCTCAGATAGTCCAAAACTTCACTCCACGCGTAAGCAACCAACATCATACAGCTCCAGAAAATGTTCGCCCTATCCCACGTCGGCAGGAGTCTGCTAATTTGGAACAAGCTTCAAATCCTATCCCATTAAATCGCCCAGCACCAGCAACGTACACTATGTCTCATGTGGATAACTATGATCCATCCCGGAATCCTAACTTGGAAGGCTTGTCTCCTCCTGTTGATCCTACTTATTTCACTTACAACTCACAAAACTTGGGAGTTCGTCGCCAATTTGCGGTTAACAGTATCCCACTGGAACGACACTTGCCTCCTCCAGTTCCACGATCCAATCTACCATCAAACGACTTCAACCAGCAGAGGCCTCAAGCAACTCGTCCAATCCAATCCCATGAAAACCGTTTCAATTTTAATAATCAGGAGAGACCCGTTGCTACTACACGCGTACATGCTGAGCATAATGAGAATCTTGTACCATTCCAAGAGCCATCGCGTCCTCACGTTATGCCAACAACAACTGAGGGTCCAACTCGATTCGTTCCAATGCGTCCCAAACATATTCGTTTAGCATCTGAGACAAGCTCAAATGAACACAAAGTTAATAGCGTTCAAAGTACTCCTCAAACCACAACTCCACAACCTGTAGTTCAAAGACGTATTCAACATCAGTTCCAACATCCTCAACATGCAACAAATCATGGTGTTCGTAACTCTGATGATCTTCGTAAAGATATAGAGAGATCTGAGTCATTCTCAGAGGATGAAAGGCCATTGACCCCACTCGCTGGAACTATACCTGGGATTCGTATAAACAAAACTCAAACAATCGATCTGACTATTCACGCTCCAAAACATTCTTCAGCTCGCGCCGAAGAATTCCACCAACGCTCGCAAGAATTCCAGAAGCACGTACAACCATTCATGGAAGTTGCACGTAATGTGTTTGAAAACTATCGTAATGGTACTCCAATCTCCAAATCAGCCTTTATGCATGAACAAAAACATTTCCCGTCTAATGCTCCACAACTTGTTGTTCCAGATCATCGATCACGTAAGCTTCACGAATTATCTGATTCAGTAGATTTGCCTCTATTTATGCTTCCACCACCAAGCACATCACCCAACACTTCACAAATCAAAGGCGGCACATCTTCAGATTTCTTAAACAACACAACTGTTTTTAATCCATCTCCTACACGTAATACAAGTCTGAATGCACTTCACACTCTCCCTAACATTCCCTTCGATAACTTTCCTGCTGCCATGCAGCGCGCTAACCAAACCTTACAAGCCTTGTGGTCATCCGAATCTAATACAAATGTCGTCTCTAACAATCGACTATCAACGGTGGCAACAACCACAAAACCGAAAAACCCAAAGACGTCCAATCTTACAACAACTGACCGCCATATACATGCAATCATCCGTGATATGCTTACAGAACAACCAGACGACTTCTCTTCCGAAGAAGACGAAGACAATACCGACTTCCTCCCATCAGTCAACCGACGTCGCCCAATCGCTGCCGGTGTTAGCCAACATCATGAAGCTGTTCCTCTTCCCGTTGATAACTATAAATCTCCCGATCCTATACTTCGAGGAAATCAACCATCTCCTTATGGTAAGAAGGAAAAATCTGCTCTTCCCGTCCAAGGAAGCACATTAGAAGCCATGGCTTCTGGTCAGGCAGTCAACTATCCAACTATCATAACAACCCAAGGATACAAGATCACCACGACCACGACTGCCACCAGCACTGCCTCCACTACCACCACCACCCCTACGACAACGACAACCACGACTTCTAGTACTGAACCAGCACGCACTTCCCCATCTAGCACTACTGCTTCTATTTCTATAAGTTCAACTACATCACCCGTTACTGCAGATGTCACAACCACTACTGCAGCTCCAACAGAAGCTCCTTCAAGCACAACAACAGCTCCAACAACTACCACAACTACTCCTGTTCCTACAACAACACTGAAAGAAAAGATTCAACTTCCAGTCGAAAAAGAGATCATTGAATCTTCTAAATTCTCAAACGAAAAAGTTCTGAAGATTACGGACGAGGAACATACTTTCCAAGAAACTGCAGTTGAACAAGAAGAGAAAACTGATGAGCACAAATCTTCTTTGAAAAAAGTTGAAATCGGCATGAAGCACCGTACTTCTATCACAAAAACCACAGTTGCTCCCACAACTCAAGCCGTTGAGGTAACCACATCTGCAGAAGACTCGAAAGAGGAAACTGTTGCTGAAGTGGATACTGAAATCACTATCGAGTCTAGCACCGCTCCAGTCACTGTCACATCTCCTGTCACAACAAGGGCTGCACGTCTCAGTTCCACAACTGTTGATACCACGACAACTCAGGTTTCCAGCTCAGCCCCCACAACTACAGTTGCTCCTACTTCCACATCTTCACTTCCTTCTTCTACTTCTTCTACTTCTTCTGTTCCTTCTACTTCTTCTGCTGCACCTTCAACCGTCTCTCAAGCTGAAATTTCTCTTGATTCAGATGAAATTGCTGCTCCATCTGCTATCCCCGTTAGCGCTGCTGGAGTATCTCATTTCGAACCAAAGCATGAAGAAGAAGTTTTGAACCCTGACCTCAGCGTTGGACGTGACCCTATTCCAACAGGGCCTGTAGGAATCGGAAGAAACCTTGAGCCTCTTGATCTCGATGGTCTTGGTAAGACAATTGAAGTTTTTTTTGATTAATTAGTTTTTGTAATTCCAGAAGAGCCTACAACTGTTGTTCCAACTACAAAGAAAGCTGTAGCTTTCACAGTTGCCGCGCCTCCAGCTCCAGCTCAAATAAACCCTAACGTTCATACCCTCAGAACTGAAACTTTTGATGCTAAAGTTGTATGCGCTTTGGCTCCAGAAACTGGACCATGTACCAACTACATTCAAAGATGGTATTCAAACAACAATAATTCAAAATAATACTTTGTTTAAGGTTCTTCAACGCTCAAAGCCTTCAATGTGAGCAATTCTCATTCGGATCATGTGGAGGTAACCAAAATAACTTCGCTGATAGAACAACTTGCGAGCTGAAATGCATGAGTGGTTTGTTCCAAAGTAATTCTACATATTCAACGCTTTCCATTTTAGCACTAGGCTCCGTCACATCCCAAGTTCCTGAACGCTGTTCTTATGATAAAGATCCTGGTTTCGGACAAGGTTACAATGTAAAGTGGTACTTCAACATGAAAAACCTACGTTGCGAGCAATTCGTTTACGAAGGACAAGGCGGAAACAGCAACCAATTCGAAACACTGAGCGACTGTGAGAGATTCTGTACTCCACAACCAAAATCATCATCTGCTGGACAAGTTTCTGCTCTTCCAACAACAACATTAGCTCCTACCACACAAACTAAGGCCACAGAAGCAGCTACTGTTTCTACTACTTCAATTCCAACAACAGAAGCTGTGGCAACAACCAAAACTCCTGCTTCTCATTCTCTCCGACCACTCCCAGAACAACCACTCTCTGTTTCTATCGATGAGAACGAGAACATTGAGAGCATCAATAACAACAATAACAACAACGAAGACTACGATAGTTCCGAAGTTGATGAGGGTGATCTACTCCCAGTTCCTACCAACATTAAATCTCAACCAACTCCACCTGCCGGTCTCCCAGAAGTTAGTAAAACCGATGACGTCAAGCCTCCTGCTCATGCTGCTAAGACTGTTACTCAAGAGGAAGTTGAAGCTGAGAAATCCGTAGAAAAGAAAGACAAGGACAATTACAAGGCAGAGCCAATTGCTGTTCAGACTCAAGAATCTGGATTGGATAATCTTCCACGTGTTGGACCAAGCCCTCCAATGAAGGTTGATTACCAAACTGGTCAAATTGTACGAATTTCGATTTAATTCTCTCATTAAATTGTTCTTTTCAGAACCCTGTGATTAGCGGAATCAAGACTTTCCCTGAAGGAAGAATTCCTGTTGACAAGACAGGTATAAACTTTCTATAAAATCTTGCCCTATTTATCAACTTTAGAATTTGACTCGGAAGACGGTGCTCGTCAAAACTTGCCATCCTGTCCAAATGGACTTCAAGAAATGAGATATGCTGATGGCCGTCCAGTTATGTGCCTTCCAGGAAAGAACCAATGCCCAGACAAATCTGTCTGTTACTTCAACGGAATTGATTTCTTCTGCTGTCCAAACATTGATGATCCTTATGATAAGCACGTATTCGGTGGTTATGATGGAGAGGAAACTAAGCATGGATATAAAATCTTCGGCCCACTCCGTGTTCGCCGATTGATGGACGAAGTTCCTCTTCGTACAAAGAGACAAACTTCCATGGATAGAGCTTTCAACACTGCTCCAGTCAGCTTCAGTATCGATTCTGTCATTGCTCCTCTCAGATTTGATGGTATGAACACTTTTCCATCAAAAAGTGATTCTTTCTGTATTTTTCAGCTGAGAAGCCACGTTCAATTAGCAGAGCTGCACGTATGCGTAAACCAACTCCACCACAACACGGAAACCCTATGTGCATGCTTCCTTTAGCTAAGGGAGATTGCCAAGAAGCCCATCTGAGGTAATTTTATGGGCTTACAAAAATTTCTAACTACCATTTTCAGATACTTCTACGACAAGGAAAGCGATTCATGTAGACTGTTCCACTATTCAGGATGCCAAGGAAACGCTAACAATTTCGGATCTTTGGAAGATTGTCAAAGACTTTGCGTCTTATCAGGACAACCCACTGTACGTCAAACTCCAGCCCCTGTTGTACAAGAAGAAAGACCAACCGCTCCTGTTGGCCAGTGCCCCGTAGGCTCTCCATTAGGAGGAAACGCCCCTGTTCTCTGTGGAAGCTCTACCGACTCCATCGGTTGCCCAGAAGGTTATTATTGCCGTGCTGGACCTCCTGATGTTTGCTGTCCAGGACCAAATCCATCAGGTAAAGAATATTACCATTGAAAGAAATTCATCTTGAATTTAGAACCAAAAAAAGAAATTAGATTTGCTCCTGAAGTACCTAGAGCTCATAGTCCTCGTGGGTTCCGCAATGAGGTTCTCATCTCAACTCCAATCTTCATGTGCCCCGATGCATCTGATCCTTTGATGGCCGAAAACGGAAAGCCTCAAGTTTGTGGATCTGGCTTCGACGGAATGCAGATGTGTCCTAGAGGATACTATTGCGCTATTGACAACGAAAGTGGAAGTGAGTTTGAAAAACATGTTCATCTCGTAATGTTTGAAATTGATAGGCAGACTGTGCTGTTCTCTTTTGGGAAACGCAGAGCGTATTCCAAATCAGCAAGTTAACGCTCCCTACTTTGGAAGAAGATCTTCAAACCCTGGTGAGGTTATCGAACGTGGTTCACTACCCAGTGATCAGGTTACTGAGAAAGCTCTGCCCAGTTCAGTCCCTGCTGTCGACTTTTCGACAATTGATGCTGTAGTTGATAACACCAAAACTTCCATCCCATCGGACACTTCTTCGGAAGAGTACGAAGATGAAGAAGAGGAGACACCAGAGCATCTTTTGTTGAAACCATTGAGCCGTCATGAAAAACTCCAACAATCAGGTTTGAAAACAATTTAAGTTCACTTCATGAACCATTTTTCCAGCTGCTTCTGAGTCACCAAAAGCAAGCAATTTAGAATCAGAAATTGTTAACATCGATATGCCAAAGGAATCAACAACTGTTGTTGAAGAAGTGTCAGTGCCGAAAATTAATCCCATGGATCAAACTATTTGTCACGTAAAACCAACAGAGGGGCGAGCTTGTCGTGAAGATGAGAAAGCTCCTAAAACCAATCTCCAATACTTCTACTCTGCCAAAGATAATCGGTGCAAACTCTACTTCTACCGGTACGTTATATTTTCATTCTATTCAAGATTTTGTTGCCTCCTATCGTAAGCATATTCAACTGTTTTCTCTTTTTCAGAGGATGTGGTGGAAATGAGAATCGCTTTGAAAAGAAAGCCGATTGCGAATCTCTCTGCGTAGTGAAACTTTAATTCCAGTCAAAACTTCTTGACATTCCTTTAATAACTATAATTAATAATTTTTGAACCATTAGATGCTCTCTTTCTCTCTTTATCATACTCTTGTTGTTTATAACATATTCGACGACATAAGTTCTCGTCTTCAAGATGACCTCTCTTCCATTCATGATAAATTGATATTCTAAGTATTGTTTCTTCGAACGAGTCAGAAATAACTCGGGGGAAGTTTTGATTGGCATTTTCCTGTAAACTTCGTAACTTATGTGATTTCGCTTAATACGTAATGGGTTTTCTCATTTTTGTTGAAAATCGTTTTCGTTTGATCGGCAATGTTTCCAATTTTCTGAAAATATTTGAGTTGTTCAGAGATTTTACTGAATTTCTGAATTTTTTTTTATTTGTTAATAATTATTTGAGCTTTTTTTCTCGTTTAAATTGTGTTTATCATGATGTTAAATGTTTTGTATTTTCTCAATTCTATCATACAATTCTAATTCGAATGGTTATGAAACTGTTCTCATCGTTCTCTGTTTCATTCGTCAACAGCTTTCTGCCAATACGCTAGCTGCACTTATAACAAGAGTTAAATCCGTACATACTGTACTGAATACGGAAATATCGTTTACCGCATGTCTGCACACTGCAAAATTTACTTTTTTGTTATGTTTGAAAAAAAATATTATTTTCATAATACAATAAATCCAAAATAGTTCTAGTGCGCAAAGCTCGGAAGGATGTGCTAACATGGAATTTCGTGATTTGAAAGCAATGCAATGTGCTACCAAGTTGAACATCTTCAGAGTTTTTGATTAGTACTCATAGATACTTTATAAGCAAATAAAAGCTGCTGAAACAGCAGCTTCCAATGTCAGAAGTCACTGCTCATGTCTGATTTCGAAGTGGTGAAAAAAAGAAGTGTAACAACTCTCAAAGCTAATTTTTCGTCATAGCCAGAAGTTTTAAGTTCGGTCATATTGCTTCAAACCTCCAGTTCTGCTGAAATGAAAAAAGTTTTTTAATAGAAAGTATCATCACGACCAAAAAACAGTTTCTCACAACACACTCATACAATTTGATCTTTGTCAATCTGACGTTCTGGATTTTCTCGTTTTAGTACTTTATCTTCAATTCCTGATTAAACGGAAAAGCCTAAGAGGATTGAACAAAGTCAGTTGAAAACATATGTAGCGTTAGATCAATGGTCAAAGCCTTGTTATCAGAAAAATATCAGAAAATATTTTGCGAGAAGAGAGGATGATCAGCCGACTTGTTATCAATTGATTGTATCACAAGCTATTTGACCGTCGCATTATAATATTCATGACCAATTAGATTGTTTTCGTCGAAAAAAGGTCATCCCAAAAATGAGGCTTATACTTTTCCTCATTATTTTTATTGTAAAACCTGTTCTGTGTGAACGTGAATTTCTACCTAAACATCGACAACCTTCTTGGCTTATCAAAGATAATCCGAACCAAGGACCTAACTATGCTCAACCTGAACAAATTAAGTTGTCATATGGAGGTAAGTGCAGCCTTTTAAGCTTCATCTCATTTCTTCCGAGGGCATCCGAGTATTATGTTGGTTACTTGGTTGACATACGACGATACTCTTCATTCCATCGTGGAATATGGGAATAAGCAATTGAGAGAGGTGTTAATTAGAAATTCCTTAGGAAATATTCTTAACATTTTCAGACTTCAGAAGGGAACTGCTCAGTGTTTGTTGATGAACAGCCGCGGGCCAAGTATCGTTTTATCCACCGTGCTCGCTTGGAAAACTTAGTTCCTGGCGAAACATACAGTTTGAAGAGATCTTATATTTATAATGTGTGAACTTGACTTCAGAATATCGTGTGGGTAGCACATATGGTTGGAGTGCAATTTACTATTTCACACCATTGGACGAAAATCAGAGAGAAGAAGGCGGCTTTGCGTACGCTGTGTTTGGCGATCTTGGTAATGAAAATGCGAGATCTCTGGGAAAACTTCAGAAAATGGCTCAAGATGGTGATATTGATGCTGTTCTACATGTCGGTGAGTGAAAATATGAAAAAAATCATTTTAATATAAAACAAAGGCGATTTCGCTTATAACATGGATTCCGATAATGGAAAAGTAGGTGACGAGTTCAACCGTCAGATTGAGCCTGTAGCTGCCTATGTTCCCTACATGACAGCAGTAGGAAATCACGAAGTATTTTTTCTAACCTATAACGTAACCGAAAATAAGTTGTTTTCAGAATGAAGGGAACTTCACTCATTATGTTAACAGATTTACCATGCCCAACTCGGATCACAATTTGTATTACAGGTGAGAACGATGTGTGGTTCGGGTTAAAAAACATTTGCTAAGTTTCGATATTGGACCGGCTCATTTCATTGTTTTTTCAACTGAGTTTTATTTTTTCACCCAATATGGTTATGAACAAATCCGTAAACAATGGAGGTTTTTGCTAAACGACCTACAGGTTACTAATTTCATGATGTGATATCATATACAAGTTTGAAGCAAGCAAATGCCAACCGTAAAAAGGTTCCTTGGATCATAACGATGGGACACCGGCCAATGTATTGTTCAGACTTTGATGGAGATGACTGTACCAAGTATGAATCAATTGTAATACTATGAAGTCGCTCAATGTAAAAACTAATTCCATTTTCTCAGATTAGAACGGGATTACCAAAAACGCATGCATATGGGTTAGAAAAACTTTTCTACGAAAACGGTGTTGATATTGAAATTTGGGCGCACGAACACACATATGAACGTATGTGGCCAGTATATAACAGGACAGTGAGTTATTTCAAAAGTTTGAACTCTATTCACTCATCCTCAGGTATACAATATGAGCATGTCATCTTACTTCGATCCTCCCGCACCTGTTCATATAGTTACTGGATCAGCTGTAAGAAATGATTTGAACAGAAGCCAGTTTAATGTAATTAAAATTGAAGGGATGTAAAGAAAACACGGATATTTTTGTTGAACATCCTCCACCATGGTCAGCCAAGAGATCGACAGATTATGGGTTTGGTCTATTACGCATTTACAACAAAACTCACATCAACTTCAAGCAACTGTCGGCAGCAAAGGTGAATTGACTGATTGAATGACGACAAAACAATATTATTCAGGATGATATTGATGACGATTTCTGGATTATTCGTACAAAGCACAAACCTTTCAAGGGAAGTGATTTGCGAAGATTAAATTCCATGGGAACATATATTCCTTTGAGTCACTGCCATCATCCATCTCATTGTCCTAACACCATTGATAATTTTATTTTTTATTGATTTTGATAGAGTTTGTTGTTGGAGAGGTAAAACAAAAAAAAACAAAAAAAATATGTAAGTAAAGAGAATTGGGATTAGAGATGAAGCTTCAAGCACAACCGTTCTCTTCATCATGTTGTAGTGTGAATGAAATTCACGTGAAGCCAGTTGACGTGTTTTTGAATCCAAACACAAAAATAAATAATTTTTATTATTATGGACACTTTGATAATTTCAAAAAGATACCTATTGCATTCAAAATATTTTTAATTTCCTTTTTTTTTCTCATAAAATTCCGTTCGTTTTAATAATAAATCATTGTGTGAAATACATGTTAAGTTTCGAAGAATTTTATAACCAAATCTCATCTTTGATGGAGTGTTCAGCGAATGAACGGCGAACAGCAAAGGCATCTTACTCTTATCACATTCTGATACATTCCACCATAATTCCTATATTCTATTTAATTACAGTTTAATATCTTAATCATACCGTGTTATAGTGAAGTATATGATCTGACCATGATATTCTTGTCACATTCGCTGCTTCAGGAATTATGCCGGTATAGAAAACATCCTGAACAGACTATGAATTCGTCATTCATTTCATCTTATTAACCTCAAACGGAAATAAATCCATCTGTCTAGAAAAGCTTGTCAATGATTTCAAAGCATGATGTCCAATCATATACATAGGTCCATCACAATATTTTGGATAATAATTGGATGACCACTGCTCTCTTGATATGAACCTTAATTGGGATTCCTTTGATTTCTCATTGCATTTTTTTTTTAAAAACCATTTATGTTTTCGATTCCTTTTCGGAGCTGATTTCGGCCAAACCTTACACATGATAGAAGATTTTCGATTATTTTGAAGAAAATGGAACATCCTATCCATCTCAATCAGCACGTCATCATCCACTTTCATATGATATGTTGTGCGTGGGTAATAAGCTTGAACAAAAAGAAAAGCAGCATAAACCTGAAGAATATGTATGCTCATATGAACATAATCTAATGAAATAAGTTTGACAAACCTTTTGATATAAATTATGATAACTTTCAGTCAAATTAGTTATAATGATATCATTATATAGCTCTTGTTCCTCATCCAATTTCTTTCGAATATTACTATTTTTGGGATTTGAAAGAAGAAAATATACTTTGACATTTCCATTCTAAACTTAGATGTATCACAATAATCTTGATATTTTGAAAAAAAAAAAGAAATTTCATTTAAAAATACCTTTATATTTTTAGAATTGTTTTGATTAGCCCATGTTTCTCGAATTACTTGACGATGTTGGAATCTTTCAGCTGTTGTTAACACCGTTGATACAACTAGTGGAGTTCTGAGAATATTCATATATTGATAATGAAATAGTATTTAGATGCTATAGCATGATATATGATGTATAAGAGAGAAGAAGGGAAGAGAGAGAGAGGGAGGGAGAAAGAGAGTGCAAGAGAGAGAGTGAAGAAGAAGAAATGTTAATAAGTAAGAAAAAACCTTTTTAAATGAAGTTCAGATGGTTTCATCACGAAACGAAATGGTTCATAAATGTTTTTCATATGAATATAATGAGTTTGATCGACTGCCGGAACTACATTAGGCAAACTTCTTTTCATCCGATTTTTAGTCGCATTTGGCAGTACATTCTCAAAGCTAATAAGTAAATCTGTTAATATATGAATATTATGATGATATAGTTAAGAATAATAACTTACAAATACATAATGTGATGCAGGAAATCTTTTTTATGAGCGGCAGTCGAAAGAATGTCATCGATTCAATCTCAATCAAATCATATTGAGTTGAAACAAGCAGTGTCGTCATTGTCTTGACGACAAATTAATATTTTATTAATATTTCTCTTCGTCCTCTATCTACTTCGTCCTTCTTCGTCTTGTTCTAGAACAGCTAAACTTCTTCTTCTTCTGCTTCTTCTTCTTCTTCTCAGCTTCACGTAAACAGCACGCACAATCAGACAGAGATAGACACAAAAATAATAGTTAATTGTCTTTAGAGCAACAAGAATATAAAAATTTGAAAACTCTTCATTAAGACTTTATATACCATTGGGAGAGGCATTGCTTATTATCCTCAAATCCTAAATGATCAATGTACAATCGTTTTTAATAAAGTTATCAAAAACAATTTATTATTTTGTTATCTTTTTCTTTTTTCTTTCTCGCTCTAAAAATTGTATAAAATATCTGAAAACTAGTAATAATAATAAATATACTGATTATAATACTGATCAATTGCATTGCGTCATCGTTATTCTCTTTTTCCTTTTTCCAATTCTTTTTTTTTTTGTTTCCAAAAATTCAACTCTTCTTCTCTTTTACTCTTTCTCTCTCTTTCTCTCTCTCTCTTTATATATCTCTATTTCTCCCTCCTTATACATCTCTATTTCTCTTTCTCTCTTTATCAAGTTGAAAGGGTGTTATGTGGTTGTTGTGTCGGAGCAGCATGTTTTTCCTTTCAAATCAATTAGTCTCTTCCATATTTGTCTTTAATAAGCTTTACTGATTGAAAAAAGTTTTTTTTGTTTCATCGTCTTTATGATCTCATTAGCATAATTGAACTTGTTTACAATTTTTAATGTGTAACTTCCTATCTACGCACACACACACACATACACACGCATACACACACGTAGCGTCACTCATCTCAACATCTCAATTTTCATTTCGTCTTCATCGTTTTGCGTGAGCGGTTGCATTCTTCGGATTTATAACAGAGCCTGATGATTATCTGGTGTAGACGAGTAAAGAGGGGGAGGCGGCTGATTGAAGTTTTTTTTTTTATTTTTTTGCGTGACAAAATATGTTTTTTTTTATTATTTATTTTCATTTCATATTTATAATCTTCAAATTATAATTTTTCTTTCTTAATCTTGATATTTCTCAAGATTTTCTTTCTTTATAAGGCTTCATCACATAAATAGTATAAATAAATATGAATAAATAATAATTAAATCTTATTATTTATAGTATTTTACGTCTCATCAAATCAATATTATATAGATTATTCTTTAGATAATCTTCTGTTAAACTTTATTTAAATGGACTTTATCTTTCTCTTTCATAGATTATCAATCCTTAGTTTATCGCAAATATCAATTTTTTCCTTTTTTTGCGCCATCGTCTCCATCGTCTCCTTCGTCTTCTTCTGCTTCTCATTTTTGCAAATATTTTTTTTTGTTGATTTCATTAAACAATAGCGATCATGTACGATTAGAATCAGCTTCTTCGTCTTCTTCGTCTTCTTCTTCTTCATTGCCATTCCTTTAGTCTGTTAGTTGGTGTGAAGCTTCTCGTCTCATTCAGCTATGGCTTCACGTCGTAAATTTTCTTTTTTTATTTTCATTCTTCATTTACTTATAGTTAACAAAGCTATTTCGTGCGCTATACACATTGAAACTCAGCTATTTTTTTATTCCAATTGATTCATCCAACTTGAAGCAAAATGTCTTACGAAGTCTATGGAAAACACTCACTGATTCTCCTGTTTCTCTATAATCTCTTCTCCTTTTTTTTTCTTTTACTTCTTTTTTTTTCTCAAAAAGAGCAGACATCAATAGGAACAAAGAACACATGATGCTCGTATATGAACTTTCGTTCCATTTGACTATTCTTCTTCTCCTTGATCTACTTCTGGTTTCGATGAAGATCATTACAAACATTCCATCTTGTCATCACCTTACCTTTACCCGTCTTCGTTTCATTCATAAAATCAAATGTTAGTAAGCCTTTTCTGGAATTGTTTTGTGTGTGTCAGCTTTTTCAATCATTTATTTCACTTTTTTTCTACGAATTCATTCAAAATCCCTGACTATATGAACGCTCTGCTTCACATTCATTTCCTTCCTCCACTTCTAGCTTCTGCTCTCTCTCTCTCTCTCTCTCTCTCTCTCTCTCTATCGTTTTCTTTCTCTCTTCTACTCTCTCTCTCTTTCACTCCTTTTTTTTTTCATTTTTTTACATTTAAATGAAAAAAGGACATTTGTGGCTGGAACCAATACCTTCAATGGAATACTTCCTTTCAACTTTTTTACCAGCTTTCTAATCATTTTTCTTCCTGGAGTATTAGAAACTACGAACAAATGCATTATGAGTACTCAGAACATCAAACACCGGACAAGATCGTTTTTTCAACCCTCTTCTACACTTTTTTTTCTCTACTAAGCTCATCCGAAAAAGTTTGTTGTGGAATATTTATAACTCATGATATTCATATGATAACCGCCTCTTTCTCTTTTCACTCAAAATGTTTCCAACAACTAAACTTTCAAGCTTTTTTTCTGCTTTTTGTTGGAAAACTTCAAGTCATTTTAGTAAACAATGAAATTGTCTAAGATTGGAAATAATTGAAATACGATAATTACATGTTCTCATTTCTTTCTTTTATCTTATTTCTTTTTGATTATTCTTTTCCAAGTTTTTTTTGTCCGTGAGTCTGTGTGTGTATGTGTATGTTGAAAGTTGTTGTTATCCTCATATTATTGGATGGAATACAGAGAGTGAGTGTGAGAGAAAAAGAGAGAGACATAGAGAGAGGGAGAGGAACGTGAAAGAGTTGTTGGGAGGGAGGGTGAGAGAAGAAAAAAAATGACAAAAAATGGCATTTCTATCTGCAAAAGTTTCGTTTATTTATAAGAAAATTATATGATAAATAATCATTAATTCTTCAACAAAATGTTGTCGTGGTTGAACTTTGAGTGAAAGCTTAAATCATTAGAAATCTAAACTTTCTGCTTTTAAGATTTTTTGATGTTTTGAATGTCACTTCGATCAGCTCATTATCTCTTCCAGTTGACTGCCAGTCGACGTTTTCTCATTTTTTTTTCTTCTCACTAAGAATCATCTTATTTTCCTATGATCTTCATGCATGCTTCAATTCAGCTTTTTTTTTTCTTTTCGAACACTTGCAAGTATTGACTTCCATGGTTTCCAAAAGTACGTGTGCTCTTAGTCGGTCGTTAGAAAACAACTGTCTGCTCATATTTGGAAATGAAAAAGAAAACAATCAAACGACTTCAAACATTCTTTCTGGGCAACGAAACTTTCTTTTTTTTTTAATAATCATTGTGGCAGTTAGAAAAGAAATAAAATTCTTTCCTCCAATGATGTTTGAGCTACAAGTGGTTTGAACTAAATTTCTCCTTTACTCTTTATGGCCTATGATTTCTATAATTATAAGCCCATGTACTGTTATGAATATAAAATTCTTCAACATTTGTTGATTTTCGACTGTTTTAGTAAGGCTTGTTTCCTTTTATAGCCTCTAATAGTTCCTCACCCATAATCTTCCCTTTTCACTGCTGTTGACATTCGATTTTTTGTGAATTTTCTTCGATGTAGCGTTTCCAATAAGCCATTCCGACCTAGTATTCTGATGACTTTTGTTTAAAAGCATCCAGAAAACTAGGAAGACATGCCTGAATCGTTTTCGATGTCTGACACATCCTGAGTGAGTTGATCGGAGGACAAGTGTCCTTTTTGTTGATGTTGTTCTGTTCGAACTTATCGTTGTTCACAGCGTTCTCCCGTTTTGTTGCAATCGTTGGTGAAGGAAGGAGAGCGAGAGAGAGAGAAAGAAAGACAAAGGGTGGGCAGAGAGGTGAGAGTAAGTAAGATAGGGCAGAGAGAAACAGAGAAGATTGAAAAACAAGAAGAGAGGGAGAGAGAGGAGCTCAATGTGCTTCCAAGACCTTTAGAGATCGAACTTTTGGTTCACTTCTAGCCTACATTCGTTTCGGATTAGCAATTTATTCTGTTTTTTTTTTGAGTTGTTTGTGCAAAAATTCGCAGTCGCTGACGTTTCTCTAACAATTTGATATTATAAACGTTTTTTTAAGTCGAAAGAGCCATTTTCCTTTTAATTTTTTTTGTTTTTAGTCTGCATTTAGTTATGTCCATTCATGCAGTTAACATTCTCTCCTTCTCTTCATTCTAAAGCTTTCTCTCTATTTGCTTTTTCTCTCTCTGTACTCATCGTTGGCATCTTTTTAATTCTTATCTATCTTATTTCCCTTTTGGCCGATTGTTTTTTCATCCGCGGCTACTATGATATCGATGGACTTTGCAATGAAAATAAGTTTCAATTATTTGGCCCAAAAATGAATTTGATTTTCGTTTTTCTCTCTCTCAACCTTTGAGAAATTGCTTGATCGGCTTGTTGACGACGGACTTCCCTCCAGCCTCGACCACGGCGGACCAACCACCATCAGCACAGCAGACAAACATATTCTTTTTCTTTCATCTTTTTCTTTTTTTTATTTCAAATTTTCTTTATTAAACAAATTATGTTGAAACTGATCAGAAGAAACGATTGGCAAACGCATTGTTTTCAAGTTTTGCGTTTTTAAACTAAGGTTCTTCCTTCATTACATCACCTTTTTATTAATTTATCGTCTAATTTCATTTCCTTTGTTTACATTTGAAAGCTCCAAGAGGTGTACTTGGCTTGTTTTCTGTGAAGCGATCGAGTATTTTATAATAATTCATATGTTTTCTCATATATTTCCTAGCTAATCTAGCAGTTAGTCGCCTTTCTTTTCATGTCAAATCTTATGACAATTGATCATATACATATATGGCTACACATATCTTTACTTTTGCCTATGGCTTCTTTTCTTCATAATGATACTTAGTGTTAGAGAGAGAGAGTAGGCACGATAGAGAGAGAGAGAAAGAGACCTCTATCCTTTTTTCTATTTTCTTAGTATGTTTACTGTTATGTCGACTATGGATAGTGCGATTATTGATCGATCTGCACTCTTGTGTATCGGCCGACGGACGCCTCCAAAACAACATGTTTTTGTGACCACTGCTAGATATTTTGCCAATCTTTGAGGTCGTTCTTAGCCAGATTTCGTTGATTTTTGTTTTAATTTTATTGAGTATGAGCTTCAGCACGTCTTCTGCTCCTTCTCCTCGTATTTCTTTTTCGTTTCTTCTTTTTCCCCTCGTCATGCGCCCTGAATCTTCTGATATAGTATTTTGCTTGCGGTTTTTATCTTTTCAAACTATTACGTACTCCCGCGCCATACTTTTTTCTTCTGCTGGGCTTTCTCATAGTGTCTTATCTTACAATTGCTATAACAAAAGCCATTTTTGATACAATAATCAGCATGTACTGAGCTTTCTCCCCAAAATTCGTAGGACTTCATATCGACTTGTGCCATAATCCCGCCATCATAAGCTTTCTTTAATATTTCCATATGGCATTTTTATACGTATTTCTTCATAATTTCTTGTGTTTTATTCCATCATTTGAACAATAATTTTAGTTTTGACCTTCTTAGGCGCTTAACAGCCCTCACTACTTCATCGACAATGTCTATGACAAGTTTGTCGATGAAAAGTAGAAAACGTGAAGATGTGGTTATGGAAGGATGGCTCCACAAAAAGGGAGAACACATTAAAAACTGGAGACCAAGGTTGGCAAATGTTTTGCTCAGCTTATTTAACTGTAACTCCATATTTCAGATATTTTATGCTTTTTCATGATGGAGCTCTGCTAGGATTCAAAGTTAAGCCCAAAACTGATCAACCTTTCCCCGAACCTTTGAATGACTTCATGATTCGAGACTCATCGGTTTGTGCCTACTAAATAGCATTCGAAAACCTTTCGTACATTAAAAAACTATCATGAAACATCAGTTTATCCTCGGGGTAATTGAAAATCATATAGATAAGGAGGCATGCGTTCTTAAAAAAAATATTTCACTTAATAAATGTAAACAAGTGATGATAAAACTTCCTGATATGAAAAGACTACAAAAAATGTTTCATAAGTCTCCCCAGTTCTCCAATTGCAAAGGGTTGATGACAAATGATTAAAGCTGGAAAACTTTGAAAAATATAATTACAAATACCTCTAAATGTGCATTCAGGTCATCTTCTATGATAAACCCAGACCCAACATATTCATGATTCGCTGTCTGCAATGGACAACTCTGATTGAAAGAACTTTCCATGCTGATACTCCTGAAGTATGCATTTGCTTCCTCAGCTCACCTTCATCCTTTCTTTAGATCCGTCAAGCTTGGTCTGATGCCATTAATAAAATCGCTGATCGTTACCGAGAGCGTATGGCTGATGATCCATCTGCTCAGCATGATGATATGATGGAAATCGTCAGTCAGGTAGTTACAGTGAAGAATACAACATTCAAAGACAAAATTCTTAGGTCTCCGTAGACGATCTCGGAGGACAGTATGCTGCTGTAGCTCAGACGATTATGGGACATCCAGGAGGACAAAGTTGTGCTACTCAAGATAATCAGCGATTGATGAGTATTGCTGATTCAAGCGAAGCTGCAGTTCGAGATAAAATCGTGAGATCATCAGCATTTGATACTTACAAGAAAAACTATTTGTAGAGTATGGATGACTTTGAGTTCCTCAAAGTTCTTGGCAAGGGAACGTTCGGAAAAGTAATCTTGTGTCGTGAACGTAAATCCAGCAAGTTGTACGCCATTAAAATATTGAAGAAGGACGTAATTATCGAGAGGGTTTGTAGGATGCTTATCGTTCGCAGTTTTAAATGTTTTTATAGGAAGAAGTTGCCCACACACTAACCGAAAATAGAGTTTTACAGAGATGTAAACATCCTTTCCTCACGGTATGAGATATTTTGTTTTATTTAAGGCCGTCTTCACTTAGTTTTCTTTAAATTTTCACTCATCAAGCTCTATGAATGTTGCATGCTTTTGCATCCCAGCATCTAATGCTTCTATTATGTTGCACAAATTTACGTTCCTATTATGGAGAATAGTTCTGCTATCTTCTTCTGTTTCCAGCTTCTGATCTACAGTTTTCAAACACCTTTTCATTTTTGCTTTGTTATGGAGTTTGCGAATGGAGGGGAATTATTTACTCACTTACAAAAAAACAAGACGTTTTCTGAATCTCGCACGAGATTCTACGGAGGAGAAATAGTACTTGCACTTGGATATCTACATTCCCTTGCTATTGTCTATCGTGATATGAAGGTTTGTGTTTGTAAAGCATGTCTGTCACCTTCTCCTGGGAAGATGGCATTTTCTCATCAGATTCAGCTAAATTCGACTACGAACGACTATTCGAAGCCCTTGGAACCTTACTTCCTCTTCCTCCTTTACACCTTCTCCCTTCTGAATCTTATTTATGTGGTGAAAGTATTCGTGTTGTCAGTTCTAATTTGTCGCACTTCGAGAAGTTCAATATTAGTTGCACATTCTATAGGCTTTTCGCTTCTACTCTTTATAAGTTCTGCGTATTGTGATCGAGTGTAAATGATTAGTGAAAAAATTGAAGTGAATTAAGATGGCTTAAGCTTATCTCAGACCTCATTAAACTATCCCATGCTCAGGAACTCACATACTCGTTCCAAACAAATGATCGTCTCTGCTTTGTTATGGAGTTTGCGATTGGTGGAGACTTGTATTATCATTTGAATCGAGAAGTTCAAACGTCCAAAGAAGGATTTTCGGAATCACGTTCACGATTCTATGGGGCTGAGATTGTTCTTGCTCTCGGATATCTCCATAATTGTTCAATCGTTTACAGAGATTTAAAGGTCTGCCTAACTTTCCTTCTTTTTTATGAACTAGTAGTAGTAACGATTTCGTAGTTTCTATGAGAAACTTGTAGACAAACTATCTTTGCCCGGAGTTTTTAGCTTCTTTTCGATAGTCGTTGTAGGCTAATGTAGCTGAACTGGCATGATTGTGCAACTTTCATTTATCAATTTTCTATTCAGCTTGAAAATCTTTTGCTTGACAAAGACGGTCATATAAAGATTGCGGATTTCGGACTATGTAAGGAAGAGATCAAGTTCGGTGATAGAACTAATACTTTCTGTGGTACACCAGAGTACTTGGCTCCTGAGGTTTGGTTCATATACTTTCCAATCATCATGATAGTTTTACAGGTTCTAGAAGATAATGATTACGGAAGAGCTGTAGATTGGTGGGGAGTAGGAGTCGTCATGTACGAGATGATGTGCGGACGTCTTCCTTTCTATTCCAAGGATCACCAGAAGCTTTTCCAACTTATTATGGCTGGAGAGCTGAGATTCCCTTCAAAGCTCAGTCCTGAAGCTAAAAATCTTCTCTCGGGACTTCTTGTCAAGGAACCTGCTAACAGGTAAAGTTCAGACGCTGTTCCGAATTACCTTCATCCTTCAGACTTGGTGGTGGAACTGACGATGCTCTTGAAATTTGCCAACATCCCTTCTTCAATGGTCTGGATTGGGGAAGATTGTATAGGAAGGAAATTGAACCTCCTTATAAGCCGATGGTTCAAAGCGAAACAGATACCAGCTATTTCGATGCTGTACTAAGAAAATTTATCATTCTCTGTTAACATAACGATTCTTTCAGGAGTTTACTTCAGCCCCAGTTCAGTTGACTCCTCCGCCAGCTAGGCCGGGTCAACTTCAAACTGTTGACGAGTTGGAAGAAATGCAGAGTAACTTTACACAATTTTCTTTCCATAATAAGCAAGTATTGGACAATCTTCGGAGAGACAGTAATGACATGGAGGATGACTAAACTCCTTTTCCCAAACAATTTCTTCAAATGGTACATTGATTTCTTCCAATTTTTTGTGTTTCATCAAGAGTAATAAGTAGACAAAAGGATTGCTTCTTAATCTTCTCTCTATATCCCACCTATGGATAAGTGCACGTGTATATCATGGCCTGTTCTTTCAATATTTGTTGCTTCTTTTGGAAAGCCTAGAACTGCCTTCAACTTTGTCCGTAGCAAAACATATCCAAGATTCCGAAATTCCTAGAAATTTCCTGCTTCGAACTGAGATCTTCAGATTTCAAAGAAGTTTTAATGATAACCTTCTGACCAAAGAGATTCATCTTCTCCAGAGTTTTAGTTGACCGTTTGACTGTAGTACTGCCTGTCCGGGGATGTTTTAGAGATAGTAAATGTAAATTTTTAATAAGAATATTAAAGTTTATAATTCTGGAGTTTCATCTACTTTAACTAATTTCTTTCCTGGTAATGTCTTCATTTACTCTTTAGCGAATGAAGAATGATTTAATTTGTCGTCTTTCAACGTCCTATAAGTTAATAACCTTCTTAACGAAATTGAAAATTTGCTGAATATTTGGGAAATCTTATACGGTTAGCTTAGACTCATGAAACTAGAATGTGCACATCTTCATCATGGTGGGATGTTTGTGGTTGTTTCTGTTATCTTTCTGAAGTTTTCATCTCATATCCCAACTATTCCTTCATAAGGATCATCTCATGTCTGTTATCCGGTATCTATCTTGGAGAAGGTTTGACGCTATTTCAGCGTCTCTTACATAGAAATCTGCTGTAAATTGCCAACTGCCGGCTGTGTTCCATATTTGGAATGTTATATTTTTTAGAAAATACAAAATAGTACCTATAGATGATACAGAATGGCTTTGGTTATGAATTGAGCAAATTGAATTCATCATCAGTCCTTCTGGATGATATGTTTGTCTGTTTACCAAAAAAAAAGTTGTTGCTCTTATGCCTTCCTTTTTATTTCAAATTTACTGATATGTCAGAACGTTTTCTGTTTAGTTCTTAGGTTATGTTGTTTTGTTTTGCTAGTCTCCCAATATTTCAATTCAAAGTTGTATTTATTTCAATTTTTATTTTGGCGACTAGTAAATAAGTTTGTATGAAAAACGGTCTTGCTGATCATTGAAACTAGCTGTTCCATGCAAAGAAGTTCCTTCCATAGTTAAATATGAACAATAAATTATTTTAAATTAAGCATTATAAACAATCAGTTTCAATTTGGTTCGATGAGAAGGAAAGATTGTAACTGGGGAGTGTGTTATAAATTGCAAATGCATCATCGGTTAGAAGATCAACATGGAAACTAGAGGATTTTTCTTTTTGTTAAAAAAAGATTAAATTCTGATCAAAAGACCCAACGAGAATGGTAACTTCATTATATTTCAAACGAACAATAAGGATTTTAATAAAATATTATTGAGAACATTCATTTGGTTTGTTATTGCTAGGCGTAAGCTTTATTTCGTAAGAAGTTTATTGGCTCGCTTATTAGCAGATTCAACACGTACTTCATTAGATTGTGCCTGAAATATGATTGAGCATTTAATGCTATTTCAATAGTTTTACGAACCTTATCAGCAATGCGATCAAGTTGTCTGTTTTGGTTAGAAACCTCTGTTGACATATCAATCGCCATATTACGTAAGTTACCAACCATTGTGGAAACCTGCAAGAATCAAAGAATAACGCCTCTTCCAAGAAACCATTTAGCAAAAAAAGAAACAACATCTTCTTCACGTGAGTTACGTGCATTTGAATGAAGATGAACTTTCATTTCCATATGTTCGAGCGTGCAGAACGGTTGTGTTTAACTTTGTAAGAGAGCTCGGTTCTTGCTCCCCGACATCAATTAGTCAGAACTTAAAAAAAGAAAGAACTCACTTGTTGAACATTTTCATCCATTTCGTCTTCTCGGGCATCATTAGTTATTCTGCAAAATTACATTATAAGCCGACTCTAACTTTTTGGAACGAAGAATGTGAAGGAAAACAAACCTTGTAATATATCCGCCTTGAGGTCCCATAGCTGCATCTCCTACAGTGATCCTGGGTTGATCGGAAATTACACCACCATCGTCATCTTTCTTCCAGGCTTTGGCATACTCGGAGTTCTTCTCGAAATCGTCCGCTCTTTAATGTTTGTTAATTGAACTCTCGGAAATAGAATAAAGTTAAGTACCTGTTCCAGGGTAAAACACACAATCCACAACATTTTTCCATACCCTTAAGATGCTCCTCAGCTTCTTTCATGTCTTGATTAATTGTATCGAGAGCACCCTCACATCGTTCCAATTGTTCTTGAGAATTAGAAAAAAAAGTTGCGACATTCTTCAGAACAATATGATACCTCCTTGATCATCCAACATTACAAGAGTTTTGATTCCGGCTTCCTTACTCTCTTCACATAGCGCAAGCATACGACGAGTGGATTCCAATGACTGAAAATAATTATTCATGAATTGATTTATTCAAAGTTTCTTTCATTTTCAACATTTTCTTTTTTAAATTTTTAAAACAAACATCTTGTTGAACTCCTTCGAGTTGCAGATTCAAATCTTTCAATTCATCAGACATATCAGCCGGTAGAATTAGCCCATTTATTCTAACAGTCCCATCATCGACTGGGACTGTATGGTTGGAGGACCCTCGTCCTCCTTTTGCTCGAGACATGCTAATTTCAAAATAATTAATTCAAACAAAATGAACAAGAAGAAGTTTGTAGAAAAAAGCGATAATCATGGATAAAGCGCGATGGTCATACCAATGGGCAGCTTAAACGGTTCGTCTGTTGAAGAAATTGTAATTGAAAGAAAAAAAAGAGCAGCTTAGTCGGAAACCTTAGTGGATGGGAAAAAAGGAAATAGAACAATAGGCGAACTCTAATTAAATTAAAGGTTTTCCATGAAACCTAAGAGATATCGTAGAAGAAAGGATTAGGAAAGTTCTAGAAATTTTTAAGAGAAAAGTTTCGATTGTAAGGTGGGAGTGTAGGCGCTTGAAAGTATTTTCCTGTTTGTTTCTCATACTTTCCATATTTCATTTGAGAATGAAAGCAATGCTTTATGTACATGATAGATAGACAATGGACTTTAAGTTGGTCTTTTCTTCACTTTTTAAGAAGACGCAAAATGGCAAAAATTCTGAGGTTGCTAAGTCCCGTAAAAATGGTTTCTGTCAATTGCTTGAACTGACTCACTTTTTAGGCAATTTTGACGTTTGCCCCGCACCATAAATATTTGAGAAGCCTAAATTTGTTTTAGAAAGCCTAGCTGTGGTCTGATGTACTTAGATGCTTTGCATTACATAGCACGAATGAAACTTAGCATAATCATTAAGTATAGAGGAAATAACAATGGAAAGATTGCGAGAGAATGGGAAAACAGAGAGAACGAGAAAAAGAATGAGCGAGCATGTGAAAGGCAGAGAAAGAAAAGTTTAAATTTGTGAGCTCAACCGTTCTAAATCATTGCATACTCAAAAATGAGATTTCGCTCATACGTGAACTGTTCACGTGTATGCAATCAGCATAGTGTATGGGCTTGTGTGTGTGTGTGTGTGTGTGTTCGTGCAGACGGTTTGGAAGCAAAAAAAATATTTTTTTTGTTGAATGTAAGGTAAAGAAGAATTATAATCATTTTGTTAAAATGCTAATGCATTACTAAAACTTTTTTTTCTCATCAATAAATGAAATTTCATTTTCGTCTCAGCTTTATGCAGACAACGTAAGCATTCAAATATATTGAAGCTATTGTGAGGCTGGTTGAATGATAGGTTCATATAGACAGGATTATTTGTATGTAAAATGGATTTATATTTCATTTTCAAGTATTTCATTCTGAGAGCTATTTGTTTCTGTCATTTATGATACTTAAATAATACTTGTCGGATATTTATAGCTTTAATATATAACCTTTCGCTTTTGAAAAAATCTGTGTGACAACCTGATTGAAAGCGAAACGTCCCATATCTCCATATACTCAGATGCCCTTAAATGTATGCTTTTCGATGTGAATGATTTAAACTTATATGTCAAATCGTTTCACATAACTATTTTTCGGAATGACAATATGAAAGGTGAGATGTAGATGAAGGATAGGGAGAGGGGGATATATTAAGGCTTAAAATATATAGAAGAGCCAGAAGTCTATGAATGAAAACTAATTCCATAAGACATTTGTGTCAGGTATACTTTGCTATGAAGGGTTTTATTGAAAGAAAGAAGTAATATATTCTTTTGGTAAAGAGAAAAGCACTGAGTATACTGGCTTACCATCATGAGAAAGCAACTGAACTCATTAGAAAGCTGAACCATCACCCATTAGAGATAAACAAAAAAAATGCAAAGACTTGAAAAAATAAACAATGGGAGGAATCCTCCTTTTTTCAACAACTATCCGATTATGACTTCCATTGAAAGACATTTTGAAATAAGATTATATGAACCGACAATGGACAATCAATAGCTCATAGCATCAAACACTGTGAACTGGGACGTTTATTAGATGCCAAAAATGGACACAAGTATGATGAAGAGATGAAGAACATCCGGTATGAAAACTAAATGATGGACAGCTTTACAAGAGGATCAGATGGAGGGCATGAAGACAAAAACGGGGGATGCCAGTACGAATTTGAAATAACTATGAGAGAGTGGAAAAGAGAATGAGAGATGAGAGGGGAAAAAGAGGTTTCAGAAGGTTTCGCTTCTTGCTTGTTCAGGATGGAGAGCGAATTGTCACCCATATGTAATAGGATATGAGCTGGATAGTGACTGCACGTGAGAGTCGAATCCATCGACTTGCTTAGGGCATGACTGATCTGTTACTCATAAAAGGACATAAGCATTTATCAAAATTGTTGAAACTTAGCTTGAAAATGAATAGAAAAGCAACTGACTAACAAGGCTCTACCAAAATGTACATGACTGCCAAGTTATTGTCATGCTTAGTGTATACTGCTTGTCGGCATTTAAAAGACTCGAGAATCAAGCCGCTGCACGAGAGTGAAAAGCTTCTGAAGGCTTCTGACAATAGCTTTTACGTGGTCTCACGGGCATAAAGCATGCGTTAGGGTAGGCTTGATGGTTAGAGTCATCAAAGCAGACATGCTTCCCTGAGAGCTGACAGTTATCGTGAAACATGAAGAAAAGAATAAGAAAGAATGTAGAGAAATTATGGATGGAAATGCATCTACAGCCATCGTTAGCTCAAAGAGAGGAAACAGATCAGAAGAAGGCTTGATAGCATAATTAGTGATCACAGGAAATGAACAGAGTAGAAAAAGATCAAAAGTTACAATCAGGTTGTAATTCAGAGAAAGGAATTGGAAAAAATGTTTTGTTATTGTTATGAGAGAAGATATGACAAAAAAAAGTAAGAGAACGAGAGAGAAATGAGGAAGAGAAGAGAGATAGGCTCAACGTAATAAAATTTGGCCAACATTGTTGAGAAAGCTATATAGACCTCCGACAAGCTTCTAAGCAAAAAAACATTCAGAAGACAATAGATGAGTTTTTTTTTAGTTTCTAGCTCTTCTACGGCTTGTTTCAGAACTTATTCGTCAATAAATCTATTAATAAACTAGAACCCTTGGATGGTTGCGAGCTAAGAAAGATCCGCAACAAGGAACTATGCAAATTAGGATACGTTATTCATTAGCAAACAGTTGCATTTCATGGACTGCTAAGTTTGAAAAGGTAAGAAACTTTGGAAAGATACAGCTTTTAAAAGCTAGAGCATTGGCAATTGCAGGAAAGGAGAGTAAAGGTGTTGACTGAAACGGAAGCTAAATAACAAACAACACTAACAGTTATTATGAGTTAAATAGATAGAAAGATAGAGAAAGAAGGAAAAAAAGAAAATAAAAAGGAAAAAATGAGAGAGAGAGAGAGAGAGAAGGATGGTGAGCAGAGAGAATAAGAGATAGAGAGAGAGAGAAGCCAGTTAAGGTATGAGAGAAAGGATTGGGTGGCATATATCCAAATAAAACTCTAACTTGTCTCAAAATTTAAAATAAAAACTGACTTTCGTTTGATTTCTTTAAAGTTATGCGTCTGAACAAGAATATATAGAAAAAAAAACATCATGTGCGCTGTCTAAAAAAGCTGTTGAACATGGAAAATGCTTTGAGGTTGGAAGTAAAGATGTTATGAAGTTTATATAGAAAAGCTGAGAATGGCTTTAGGCTTTTTTGCTTTATATCGTTTGCATCTGTGAAAGAATAAAACAAAAAGTTGTAAGATGGCTGAAATTCCTACTTAGAACATTTAAGGAGAAAAGGGGGGTGAAAATGCTTTTTGATGAGAAAATACGGAAAAATGATCCACATTATACGAAAAGTGATACGAAAACAAAAAAGTTGTGCAGAAGTTTTTTTTTTTTGTTGGGGTTTTAATTTAGAAATGCCGTGAGCAATCAGAAGCTTCGACTTCTTTCTCAATTATCTACTTAAGCTCATAACTATTGTTTAAGCATGAGATTTGCGACATAATATGAAGTTTGAACACATCGAAAATTAGTAGAATGAATGAGACTAACTGACATACATGGAATGTATGAGTTGGTCGTGTTTTGTCGGCTTTGCTTCCAGTCAGTTTCCTTTCTCTCAAACATCTTTTTTCTCTCATTTTTCTACTTTTCTCTTCATTCACTTTTTTCTTTCCTTCTTTCTCTTTTTCTATTCCATTGCTTCTTCCTTCTTATCTAATTACCGGCCAAGATCAGAGACAGAAACACATAAGACAGCTCATCGGAAGAACATCGAAAATGAGTCTTAGCAAGACAATTTGCTATTATCCGTTACATTCATTTTTATCGTACAAAATAAACTTATGTTGTTCTCTAAATTTAGAATAAACTTAGTGAACACTGAGCATGCACTTAAAAAGAGGTGAAATCGCAACCGTTCTGCATGCATGCCAAATAGAACATAGCACATATACATTGAAATGTAAAAAAAGTGACGTTGAGATACGTGTTTCACGTAAATCCACGTGGGCTTCGGAATCACGTTTGAAATTATTAAAATTCAGATTTCTCACTTGATTTGGTCTCAACAAATCACAAATCTTATTTTACTTAATGGCTTCTGATCATTATTCTTATTACATTTTCCTTCTTTTCCATATTTGAAAAGAATGAAATTTATAATGAAATATAATATTTCAGCTCAACGTTATGAGGAGAAAGCTCTGAACGTAATCGAAAAAATGGATATTCGCTCAAAAAAATATGCTCAACAAAAAAAAAAAGAACAACAAAGAAGATTTGGACGACAAGAAGAAGAAGATCGCGAAATGTGAAAAAATGATGTGGAGAAACAGCAAAAAGCTGAAGATAAGCTATGATGACCTTACTTGGTATGTAGCTGAGCCAAGTGCAAAATCAATGAGTTTAATAAAGGATTTCAAATGGATGGCTATTCCCTGAAGAATATGCCTATCCATATGTGCGCTTAACTATACACAATTTTGCAATATTTTTCTGATAAAGTTTATTTGTGGATGAGCCAAATCATGCAATGAACTTCTTCCGCTGCTCAATAAGCAACATCCACACAGAACTTCTTTTTTTTTTCATTTTATTTCAGAAAAAAAAAGAATTTTTTTTTTCTCGATGCAACATGACGAAGAAAATAAATTACAAAATGGCCATATATGGACGGATAGTTTT